GAGTGAGGAATTGTGGGGTCCTGTCTCAGCTCCTCTGCACCTGAATTGGGAGGGGGAGTGGATATAAGGGGGGGTCCGGGGGTGTTCTCATCTCACCTTTCCCCACCTGAATTCGGGGATTGTAGGGATTAGGAATGGGGATTTGGGGGGGTTATTGTCTCACAGTGACCACCCCCCCCAGTATCGAGCACCCCAAAACTTCCTCTCTGGTGCAGGGCCCAACTTTCCTCTGACAGTGACCCTGAGGATGCTCCGGCCACCTCTGGGGAGGGGAGCATGGGAGGCTTCCCCCTCCCCCTGCCCAAGGGGGGCAGCCGCGTGTCCAGCGAGGAGAGCGAGGAAGAGGGAGGCGAGGAGCCCCCCCGGACCCCAGTGCGCCCACCACGGCCTCAGGCGGTGAGTGAGGGGACCCCGAGTGGGACAGGGACCCCCAACTCCACCAGCAGCCCATCCATGCGTCCTTTCCCAGCTCCGTGCCAGGCGGGGGCTTGGGGGGGCTGCAATGACCCTGGCACGGTGCCCCCCCAGTTCTGCACCTTCGGGCAGGGGCTCGGGGGGGCTGCAGTGACCCTGGCACGGTGCCCCCCCAGTTCTGCACCTTCGGGAGCCGCCTGGTGACCCCGGGCTGTTACGTGTTCGACCGACGGCTGGACCGGTTCTGCGCCGCGCTGGGCTCCATGCTGGAGCAGCACCTCAGCACACACAGGTGGAGGTGAGGGGGGCTGAGGGGGGCCAGGGGACAAAGCCACCCCGACACAGCGAGGGTTTGTGCTCCACAGAGTGCCAGCATGGTGTTGGGATTGGGGGGCAGGAAGGGAACAGGGACTTGGGAGGGTCTTTTTGCACCCCCTCCCTGTTCAAACAGAGCAGGGTAAGGTGAGGATGCAGGGATGGGAGTGGGAAACTGGAGGGGATCTCATTTCAACCCATTCTGATCCAAAGGGATGAGGATAAGGTGGGGACGGAGGGATGGGAGCAGGGATTTGGGATGCTCTCCCTACCTGAATCAGGAAGGACTAAAGGGACAAAGACGGGAGTGGGGATTTGAGAGGTCCCATTTCCCCCCCTTCTCACCCAAACTGGGAAAGACAAGATTGGGATGCAGAACTGTGAGCAGAGGTTTTTGGGTGTGTGGGGGGGGGGGTTGGATCACTCCCTCCTCACCTGAATTTGGGTGGAACAAGGCAGGGGTGTAATGGGGATTTGAGGGGATGTCCTGTTTCACCCCTTCCCATCCAAACTCGGGGGGACAAGGTGGGGATACAGGGCTGGGAGTGAGGACTTGTGGGGGCTCCCATCTCACCTTTCCACACCTGAGTCGGGGAGGACAGGGTGGGGTTGGAGGGATGGGAATGGGGATTTGGAGGGATCCCGTCTCACCTCTCCCCCCTTGAACTGGGGGTATGTGGTGGGGAGCAGGAATTTTGGGAGTTCCCCATCTCACCCGCCCCCTCCCTTCCCACAGGAAGATCCCTCCAGCCGTCGTCCCCCCTCTTCACCTCCCCGCTGCCCCCCCCAGCCCCGCTGTCCCCCTTTACGGCCCTGCAGCCCCTTCCCCGCCCCTGCGGACCCTCTCGGCAGTGGGGGGGTGCCGGGTCCCCACCAGCCTCACCTACACCGTGGGGTCGCCCCCCGCGGCAGCCGCCTGCAGCCAGCCCGAGTGCGGGGGAGGGGGCACGCAGTCCATCACCTCTCCCCTCCCCGCCAACACCCCCTCGCCCTCCTTCAGCAAACTGCCCCCCACCAAGGCCAGCAAATCCCCCCGGGCACGGGAGGCGTCCGGCGGGATGGACACGGACCCCCGGCCCTGGCAGCCCCCCCTCACGGCCGGCAGCCCCCCTTACAAACGGACCTGTTTGGGGGACAGCGTCAAGGGCAAAAATCAGGGCTTGACTCCCCCCGGCAAGACGAAACTCACCCCCCCGGCATCGCCCTCCATCGCCATCCTCAACGGGACCCCTCGGGTTCGCCGGCTGCCCCCCGCCCAGCCCTGCCGGGCCCCCCCCGCTGCCCTGGACCCCCAAACGCCGCTGCTCGGGCTGGGCGGGCCCCCCCGGGGGCTCTCCGAGGATGAGGTGAAGAAGCGCAAGAACGCGGCCACCTATTGCCGACCCCTGAAGCCCAAAGCCGCGCCCCCCCTGCCCGGCCCCCCGGCCCCTCCCGGCTCCGGCTCCTCCGGCTCGGGGGGCTCCATCCGCAGGAAGAAGCCGGGGACGCCCCTGGGTTTCGAGGAGAAGAGGAGCGTCCTGAAGGTAGGGCTGGGGGGTGGCAGGTAGGGGTGAAGCTGAGGGACCCCCCTGAGGGTCACTGGGACCAGCAGGCGATGGGGTGGAACACTGGGATCGGGGTCACTGTGCCCTGAGAGTTACCCTGTCCTGGGGGGAACATCCCGGTCTGGCAGGGGGAACGCCAGGGGACACCCTGTCCTGGGAGGGGACACTGTGAGGGCTCCCCAACCCTGGGGACACCGTGGGGCTCCCCTAACCCTCTGGAGAGTCCCCAGTGTCCCCCGCCAGGGCTGACTCGTCCCCTCTCCCACTGCAGTCCAAAGCCCATTAACAGAGGGGTCACCGGGGGCCCCCCTGTGTCCTCCCCACCGGGAAACGCCAGAAAACCGATGAAGGGGGGAAAAAAAAATCCAAGGAAACACGAAGGAAAATCCCAGACTTCCAGAAAATACCTCAAAACTCTCAGTTCTGTTCTCTTGCTGCTAAACCAGCCCCGGGATGGGGGCGGCACTGGGGACCCACCCGGACCTCCCGGGGCCCCCATGGCCGCGGATATTTATAA